GCTCCTCACAAGAATGGGGGCTCTGATTGGATGCTTCTACGGTTTTGTGTTTTTGTACTTCATCATTTCCTAGCAAAATGTCTCTGTGAAAAATGTCCTCCTTTCAGCCCTGAACTACAGGAACAGAGATCTTTTCCTTGTCTGAGCCAGTGGCTGGGTGGTCATACGTGTGTGGCTCGGAGACCCAGTTTTAGAAGAACTGAGGCAGGTGGTGAGTGTCCAGGACAGAAGAAACCCGGGGTCACTGTTGGCCCCTCTTTCTGAGGGCTGCTCACAGATGCCACCTACCCGTGGCCCCCAGAAACGACGCATTCAGACCCCAAACCACTGTACTAGGACAGCTCTATCCAACTTCCAGTTCTCTCGCTCAGGAAAGTCCCTGAATTTATGAGCTGGAAGAGACCTTACAAATCTCATTTTGCATGAGAAAACTCAGACAGGATTTTCCTGAGGTCACACAGTAAGCGGCTGGGCAGCATTATTGTTTACAACAGAAACTAGGAAGCACTTTATAATTAGGAAAAAAAAATGGCTGAAAGCAAAAAAAGCATATGGCTCTTTATGCTTCACAATTTACTTGAAAGACATATACCGAGAGGGGAGACATATACCAAGAGATGAGACATCGTGTGAACTGTAAACTTCCTACAGGAACACACGCGTCGGGGACCTAGGAGGCCGCAGCGGTTAGAAAAGACTTCAAGGGGAGGTGAGGGGCTAGCGTGGGCCCCTGGAGGACGAACAGGAGAGCCTGGCAGAGAAAGGGCGACGGCGAGGAAAGGACAGAGAGACGGGGGACCTCACTGGCTGGGCCTAAGGAAGGGGAGGGACCCCGCCGCCTCACCTCAACCCACCCCTGCTCAAATCTCTGGATCCTGGAGCAAAAATGGGAAAAAGCGCCCAGACCGCTCTGCAGCGTGGCTCCTCCCTCTCTCAGCGAGTGTAAGCAAGCCCATGTGCTGGGACGCGGCTAAGGGGATCCGGGCATGCTTGGCGGGCGGCCGGGAGGAGGCGCCCGCCCCAGCCCGAAGCAGCCCCTCTGGGCCCCTCCCCGCCGCCCCTCGCTCTTCCCCGCCCTTCGCTCTTCCTCCGCCTGGGTCCGTGTTGTGGGCTCCCAATCACTTCTCCACCCGCCTCCCTCGTCGGTCGCCTACTGCTGCTTTAGCCGGGAAAGTCCCAGAACACGCTGCCTTTTCCAGTTAACGTGGGGGTTGGAGGGAAGGAGAGAGCTGGTGCTCCCGTCCTTTTCCCTCGTTTGTCCTCACCTCTGCCCTGCTTGTCTAGGCGAAGGAGGCCCAGGAAAGCGGCCCTGCCCGCAGCCCTGCCGGCCTCAGCTCGCGCAGTCCACCCTTAGATCTTAGAACTGAAGGTGGCGCTTTCAAATCCCAGTTTCGTTATATATTCGTGCTTCCTATTTACCGGATACCGCGAACTGCTCTTCATGCTGCAAGGGGAGAAAAAGATGCATTCAGCCCTTCAGTTTGTTTATTACAGTAATCATGACGCTGGAAGACCGGGCGTGCAATATAAAACCCAGGAAGGGAGCGATTAAAAGAATAGAAACAAGAGAAGGCAACACAGCCCAGATCCCAGAAAGCAGAAGGGGCATTGCTCTCAGGTTGCTGCCTCGGCCCGTCGCCGGGGAGAAGGGCTTTTTGGAGCATTTGTTCAGTGCCACAAAGCCCTACCAGGATTGATAAAAAGCGTTTCCCTCTGAGGTTTTCATGCATTCCTTGAACAAATATTTACCAAGTGCCTAATATGTAACAGACATGGTTCTAATTGACAGACATCTTTGCCCTCATAAGAACTAACATTATCATGGAGGAAAGAGAAAATAAAGAACAAACATAATAAATAAGTGCATTACATATTGGAAGGTAATTTTAAAAAAACAGAGCAGGCTAACAGCATGAGTGTGTGGGGGGTTCCAGTTTTAAAGAGAGTGACCTGGGTGGGCCCCAGGGGTAAACCTGCTAGGCACGAAATAGGCAATCCCAGATAAGCCTGCTGTCCCTGTGAGTTGACGGGCCCTTCCTTGTGCTCATACATGTGCATACAGCTGGAGACCCTTGCAGAGGGTGGCTGTCTTTTACTGCTTGAATAGGATGGGAGGTGGGGCATCAGTTATTCATATTTTAATAGACCATTGCAGCTGTGACTTCCCCTGCTTCCATTCCTAACCTCTGGAGAGCTGCGAAATGGTGCTGACTTCCAAGAACAGGTAGGAAGGTAAGGGAGGAAAAAAATCCTAAAACAAGGAGTTGTGTGCTTTGGAGGGGCACTGGGTCCCCCAATTGGCTCCTGAGATAGCTAATGGAAGATGGATCCAGCTTTAGGGTAGGAACTAGCTATTTATCTCTTAGTCAAGGGACATATTTTAACCATCCTGAATTAGATTTTGCAATCAGGTTGGTAATAATGACAATAATAATTAAAATAGCTGGTGTTTATTGAGTACTTATTAGGTAACAGGTATCATGCCTAGGTTTCACATGTAACCTTTTAGTTTTTTCTTCAACTAGAATGTCATGTAACCGCCATGAGAGTAGAGACTTTATTTTTTTCACTGCTGTGTCGGAATCAATGCCTGGCACTTAGATGGCACTCACTGCACAAATGAGTGAATGATTGCATTCTGAAGAAGAGTTTCAAGGCGCTGTTGCTCTAGGCCTTACAATGAGACGCTGAGAAGGTTTTAGGCCCTTCCTCTTCTTCAGAGTGCAGCAAACATAACACATACCTCTTTCTTGTTATTGCTGACTGCTCTGTAGATACTCCAGGCATTGTTAGAGGGACAGTTTCTTCTCTTTATTGTGTTTTCCACCCTCCCTGTCTCCTTGGTGGGCAGGTGGTTAGAGGAGGGAAAAAGGGGGGTGAGGGGAAAAGAAAACTTTATCTTGCCATTCATCCATGACTTCATTTACATTTAGTTCTTACAACAACCCATTTGACAGAAGAGGAAACTGAGACTCAGAAAGATTAAGTAGTTGTCAAGGTCTTGTTTCAAGTTAATGCCAAGGAGCCTCAGCCCCCAGAGCTGTGCTCTTACCCATTACACTAGATGGCAGGGCAAAGAATGCGCTATCATTACTTTGCATTTTTTCTGTTGTTTCGCTTACCCCATCTCTAGGGGTAGGACAATGTTTAGGGCAGGTTTCCTACTGTCTAGGGGGATATTTAAAAGCATGCCAAATATTTTGACAATGAATTCAAAGCAAAAGATCACATTATTTTCTTTCTTGGAATTAACAGTGAACTGGCTCAAGTTCATTATTACTAACAGTTGGCTCAGTGGTGAGGAATATTGGGCCATGAAGCTTATTTGGGCACAGGGTGTTCGTTGATGTTTAACTGCTTACCTCCTTTGGGGTTGTCAAGGAATAGGGGTTTGTTAGTGCCTATTACATATTCGGTGCTTAAGCAAGTTACTGAGTGGGGAGGGGCAGGAAGGATTAAAATTGCAGAAGTCCTGCTTAATCTGACTGCACTGATGGCTGGCAGCTACTGAAGAGAATAATAATAAAGAAGACTACTACCAGACCATCCTGGCTAATATGGTGAAACCCCGTCTCTACTAAAAATACAAAAAATTAGCCGGGCGTGGTGCCGGGCGCCTGTAGGCCCAGCTACTCGGGAGACTGAGGCAGATTTGTGCACCCAGGAGTCAGAGGTTGCAGTGAGCTGAGATCACGCCACTGCACTCCAGCCTGGGCAACAGAGCAAGACTTCATCTCAAACAAACAAACAAAAAAACTACCCAAAACATTTTTTTTTAAGTGTCTCAAAAATCAGTAAAACTTTATTCACTTCCATTATTTCACCATTAACAGAAAACTGGAGAAAGCAAAAATGTTTTGTGTTTACAAAGACAAACGGCCTCTTTACCCAGAGATCAAAACCTCAAACGACAAGAGGGAAGATAAAAGCGCCCTCCCCACATCCCCTGAGCTGACGGTTGTCATCTTAGACAGAGCCTTCAGTCCACTGGCCAGGGACCCTGTCTATGGCCAATTCAAGAAGACAGTCAAGAACACACCCATCCATTCCCGTGATATAAAGTTGAACAGAAGCTACACCAAGGGTCAAGTGTCTGTATTTTACAGGACACACTAACCAGGTGGCTACTTATTAAAAAAAACAAGATTCATTTCAGGCACAACATTTTTATTTTTTTTGTTTGTTTTGTTTTTAAATCAGTAAAAGAAACAGGGTCCTAGAAGCTGCATTGATCCAAGCAGCAGCAAGTTTGTGCATTCATTTTTTTTGTTTTTGTTTAAATATGTTTAAATTATCACACTGCTGGCACTCCTCATTTGCATGAAATTCTGTACCATACTTACTAATTGTAGTAAAGTTACCCCTCAACTCAAGAATAAAACCTACTCTGGAAGATAATTTTCGCTGAAATATAAACAAACTTCTTTAAGTGGATTGTGACAAGATTATAAATGATATAAAAAATAACATTTTAAAATTTGGCCATCAACTTTAAGAAATGGTTTGCCTATACAAATTTGTGTAATTTTTAAAAGATAATGTATTCTACCCTCATATGGTTCTCAGAATTAAAGCATCATGAACAGGAAGAAAAAGAAAAAGAATGCAACTGAGTGCTAAGGCAGAATATCTTGCCAGAAATAATTAATGAAGGTAGAGTATATAATGAAAAGTGCAGAATTTCATAGGGCCAACAAGATAACAGTCTATATTTTTCACTTACACAGACGAAGTGGATTTTGCAATTACCAGTTGCGTTAAATGCTCCAAATAAAGCTCCTAAAATTGACACTATAAGACACCACCTTAAGTTTTCCAGGCTGAACTGTGCATTATTTTAAAATGGTTTTCTTAAATTTATTTTTTTTTAAACATAAGTCGAAGAAGGTGTTAAAACTGGTGTAATAGCTCAATAGAATAAGTATTCCAGATTCGGGAGGGATGAAGAGGGAGATATCAAGAACCCTTCACCAGATTCTCCCCAACTTGATCATAGTGGATTAAAAATATGTTTTGTGGATGTGGTTAGTCAATGACATCAGCTTGACGGATGTTTCTGCACCAAACCCCATTGAGTTATCTGGTCCCCTTGGCTGATGAAGAACCATTAGGTGAGGAGCACTGGCATCATCCAGAGTGATGTTCTTCAAACGATTGACCAACCAATCAGGTCGAGGAGCTGCAACAGCCTTGGGGCCTCATAGACTCGCCAAACATTACAGGCGCTGCACTTGCCAGTGGGCTGATGAAGAATCACTGAGAACTCCACCTCATCTCCTGCCTGTAGCTCAATGCCATCCTGAACTTCTTTCACACAGAAAAAGAGCTTCTGGCTATCTCCTACTTCATAGTTAATGAAGCCAAACTGATCTTTCACACATTCCACTGTGGCCCTATGCAGGGGTGTGATGTTGTAAGCCATAGTTTGTGCATTTTGGCCCAGGACACACAATTGGAACTTGATGCTTTCCCCTTTCTGCAGGCAATCCCTATTGTTGACCATCCCAACGACACCAAATGGATAGACATCACCTTTCATATCGCCCTCCTTCACAATCTCAATCATTCCTCGGTACTCAGTCTGTGTTGGATCAACACTCCTCAGGGGGCGAATGACTTTGCCAGAGTAAATGGTGGGATCAGCTTCCTCAGTAATGCCATTCACTGAGTGTGTTTTGTTCACTTTTTCTGCACTGACTTTATTGCCTTTGCCTTTGGACAAGCTATACTCGACCATGACCCCCAGTTCCAAGCTATCAACATCACCAGAGAACTCACTGTAATGGAAAAAGTTTTCCTTATCATGATTGGCTGTTTCAATAAATCCAACTTTTTAATTGTACATATACCTGAAGTTAATATGTAAACATATAAATTCATATAAATACATATACATATAAATTCATTTGCCACTTTTTCATGGAAAGCTAAGACCTGTGCTTTGGTTCTAGATCAGCTGATAAGAGTTCTGTATGATCTTTCTGGAAAAAATCATATCCATAATGAATAATCTATTATTTCCAGTTTTGGTTTCTTTCAAGTGACTCAACAACATAAAGACAGTTTTCATGCAAGCTGACTGTGTATGACTTGCAGATTTTTCATACATTTCCCCCTACATTATTTGATTGTCTTTCTCACATCTAATTTGAGAGTGAAGTTTTTGTGTATGTGTGATTCAATTTTATGTGTCTTTTCACAGCATTCAAATCAGTTTTTGTAGAAACAGTTTTCTAATTCACATGCTCTAAATTTATCTATTAAGTGAAAGCACTACTGGTGTAAGGACATAGGGCAACAAGCATGGCTGATCCTTGGCAAGCTCATAACTCAAGGGAAGAAGTAGACACAGAGCGGCTTCCTAGCTGAGAGACTTCTCTATGCCATGGGCATGGAGCAGTAAGTTTTCTAGAGGAAATGGAGATCATAAGTAAATTTGGAGAGTCAGCTAAGTGGAGGTTGAATAAGGGAGGTTCTACTACATGTATACCTGAGACATGTCACTATTCTAGCCCTCCAGAATCTCACAATGTATTGGGAATATGTCCTAGAAATGTGTTCCCATATGCCTTACTCATAATCCACAGAGGTGTCCTCCCCTCATTCACTGTTTAGAACCAAGGGGTTCAACTTGCCTTATCCCCCAGATCACTTGAGGTGAACACCCCACCCACAGATAGCCGCCCATGCCTTGGAGTCTTTATGGAAAAGAAAAGTCAAGTCAATTATATTCCCCTAACAAGGAATTTACACTTAGGAATTAGAGAAACTCAACAAATTGGTGATGGGTGCTCGAATGAGAGGTCATGAAGTCAGGTTTGGGTAGCTATAATGGGACCATTGGGGTTTTGAGAAAATGGAAGTACAGATGGACCAGGTAAAGAACAGTGGAAATCTAGATGAAATAGTTATACAAAGAAATAGGCAATCCATAAGAGAGAGGGAAATGAAGTGTGGCTGGTCTTCAAGATTCCTGGCTTTCTCCCTTCCTGGATCTTATTTGTTTTGCATTTCCTGAATCTCTCTGAGACCTTGCTATAGTCTTGCCATTTGACATCCCTTTTAACTTGAGTTAGTTTCAATAGGTTTCTGGCCCTTGCAATTAAAAAAAATTAGATTAAGAGACAAGGTGACAACAAGCTAGTGTTAAATTGTATGTTTCTATGCATTAAGAATTCCCAAGAGTTCAGAGAAGAGAAAGATCAGTTGATATCTTAATTTTCTGCTCTTTTATTCCTCTAAACTTAGAAGGTAGGCTCAAATAATCCCTGCCATTAGCTCTGCCCAGCCCATTTCAAACATTGAACACTGCATTTACCCATCCTTGCCTCTTGGCCAGGATGACGGCTCAGCATTCCATCCTTCCCTCTGTTGTTCCCACTCTGATTTTGTATTCTAGACAAGTATCTCCTGTCTCTGCCCTGTCCCCAGTGTCCACCAGTTTTAGTGTACTGGAAGTGAGATTTGCCTTTCTTCCTTCTTTGGAGCTTCCAAAACTGGCCCTACCATTGAAGCTGCTCATGTGGACAGTTCCAGCTACTGGCTGAGGCCTCTTCCCTGACGCCTTTCTCCCTACACTCCCTCTTTATTATTGGCTATAGGAACCTCTCTTAGTCACCCAAGCTATTTCCCAGGATCTTGCCTTTCCCTGTCCTTGTTCTTTTAATCATTATTATCTCAGGAATTTCACAGACAAGGTGGGATTTGGCTGGGCTTGGAAGGATAAGTGGATGTGGTTTGGCAGAGGGGCAGGAGAAATGCGGTCCAATTATAATGGTTTATACCAACTTCATTCTCATTGGCATTTAGACTACGACCCTGTTTTTAGTAAGAGCATGATATCATTGTCGTAGGAATGAAGAGCTATCTATTTGCCATTTTGCACAGGGACAAATATATACATTTCTTAGCTGTGATACAAAAATTTTTAAAGTCAGTACTTGCACATAATGCCAAAACTTAATTCCATAAAAGGCCCAAGAAATGTATGAGTCATGTTTCCTGTAGTTGTGAGAAGTTGTGGGTTAAATGGATTAAGGAGCATCAGTAAGAATACTCTCAACCATTCCAGTTAAAAAAGGTAGCTATGCCTGTAATCCCAGCACTTTGGGAGGCCAAGGAGGGTGGATCACAAGATCAGAGATTGAGACCATCCTGGCTAACACAGTGAAACCCCATCTCTACTAAAAACATACAAAAAAATTAGCTGGATGTGCTGGCGGGTGCCTGTAGTCCCAGCTACTCAGGAGGCTGAGGCAGGAGAATGGTGCGAACCCAGGAGGCGGAGCTTGCAGTGAGCCGAGATTGCACCACTGCACTCCAGCCTGGGAGACAGAGCAAGACTCCGTCTAAAAAAAAAAAAAAAAAAGAAAAAAAAAAGTAGCTATACTCAGCAGAAGACTCACTGATGGTAACATTACAACTGCCACTTTAACTCCTCAGGCTAAAGAAAAAATATCTACCGGTCTACTATGTCATCTGAAAGAGAATATCTAGTAACCTTTCTATATGGTATTCAGAATAAGTGAACTTTTTACGTAATTGAAAGTTATTCCTTTAAGAGGTAAAATCTTTATTGGCAGTTTATCAGATTTTCTTGCTTTTATCAAACAGAGAATGTTAAACTAAATTAATATTCCTAGGTGGCTCAAGGTCTCCCTAGACATTTTGTAACATCTGTTTGCCACAATTTCCACTGATGAGCAGGCCTAGGGTAGCTATGCTTTGAAGCATGTGACTCTCTTCCCAACTGATTGAATAAAAATGAACACCTGTTTCAAAAGTAGCCAGTCCACAAGCTGGTCAATGATCGTTGACCTACAGTCTGGCTTAAAAAGTTCAGTTGGACAAATAGGATGCTCAGTAATTTAAGCCACATATGGAAAGAGGTAAAGATTTGCAAGCTGAGCCTAAACAAAACCTCTGTGACATAAAGTCAGGGCTGAAGAGTCCATGATGGTCTCTAAGTAAGCAAAGCTGTGAGAAAGCAGTCACTGTGGTGAAGCAGATAAAGTCAACTGAGGGAAGACTAAGGAGCTGAAATGCAGAGATCTCTGTTCTTAGAAGCCAGAAGAATCTAGCTAGAATGAGGGCCCTTCCTTCATTACCATGTGTAGGCGTTCAGCCATCCTGAAGTGTTCAGGGAAGGGTAGTTAACACTGAGCGTCTCCAGTTTGCTCTTCTCTTTGGGCTGGGGTTACTTGTCCTTGGTAGTCTTCCAGGTTCCCATAAGTCCCCTCTCTTCACTCTTGGGACATCTATTTTTTCCCAAATCAACATTTCTAGGCTTTGCTCTGGCTCCTCTGTTTTGGTTGGTCGGTTGCCAATTTTCATCGCTTTTTTCAGTTCCTCCTGTCCTGGGTCTCCTGAGATTCTGGGTTTTGACATTACTGTGGACTGGCTTCTATAGCCTTCAGAGATCCTGTTGTCTTAGGTGTGTGCTGTTGTCTAGAAAAGGAATCAGTTGCCTCACGTCTTCTGTAACCTTCAAGGTTGAATCTTCCCAAAGTGAACCACTGCTCACTCCCAGAGGCCTTTGGGGCTATTTCAGGTTTGCAGCTGTTCTGGAGAATAGGGGTTACAAGATGTCGGAGAAATACCAATTGACTAATAATGTATTATGTTCTTTTCTTTTCTTTCCTTTTTTTTTTTTTTTTTTGCAACAAAAGCTTGCCTTTCAAGTCCCTTGCTTATTTTAAAATTAGTTTGCCTTCCATGAGCTTAAACTATTTGAGCTGTGGGGGGTAAATGAGCTAAGATGTTTGTTGTGCTAAATTTCAGGGAAAAGTCAACCCGAATTAAAATTTGGCCTCAGGTAATGAACAAAATAAATATCGTTAGATAATTAAGAATGATAATAGTACTGATTCTACCATAATATAGAAAATACCTGATCACAATATTAACAAACAAAATAGAATAATTAAAAGGGAGAATTTTGAACTTTCCAAATGCCAGGTGAGCAAACATACTATTAGTAAATCTCTTACTGCCCATTTTCTTGAGAGATTGGAACACCTGAGCTCTGTCTAGCTTCTGGATTCCTGTGGGTCTTTTATATCTGATTATCTGGAGATGAAACTAAGGGTCATAGCTTGGCCTAATAGCATGAGAAAGTAAAGTGACCCAACATCTTTAAAACACCAATCATTTTCCCCTTCATGTGCTTTCAGAAAGAAAACATGGGACAAATTGGCTCCAAGCATAGCTTCCCACCTCCCCTTTCTCTGCCCCCAGTTTAGAAAAGAAGAAAACCAGCTCTCCCTGCAATGCTGCATCTTCCTGTGTAGCATTATTACCCTGAACTTTAAAAGACTTCTGGGTACCAAATAAAGAATTTAGACATGCATCCCTCCTGAGAGAGAGTCACAGGAAATTAAAGGAAAAGAAGGTTTGGGAGGAAATATTAAAAATGTGGCACTGTTTCATTCAGGTGAGAAAGTCATGGTGAATTTCTGTGTCTCCAACCATCCATCCATCCATCAATCTGTCGATCCATCCATCCATCCATCCATTCATCCATCCATCCATCCATCCATCCATGCATCCATCCATGCAGCTATGTAGCTTAGAATGAGAATTCAGAAGTAATGTTTGCTGAGGGATGTGTATTAACATGTGTATTTGAAATAGTTTAGGAAACATAATAGAAAACTATGGCTATGTGAAAGTAAGCCTGATTTGCTAATTAATTTGACAATGACAACAGCTTTGCCAATTATGTTATATGGTTGACCTTTTCTGTAAATTGTATGAGCCAAACATGCAGTTTCATTGTTTTTTTTTTTAATAAAATATTTAAACAATTTATAAGATGGTAGAAATTTCAC